CGGGCAATGCTGTAAACAAGGCCCCATAGGCCTACCGAGGACCCTGATCCTCACATTCCCTCCTCCTTTACTTCGTGAGTCCTCTGAGAAGTCTCTTATTTTGCAGGCATCTTCCCCTTGAGTGCTCTTCTGTAGCCTGCAATCACTTGAGGTGCTGTTCTCATGAGTTCTTCTCGTGTGAACCAGCGATCCTCCTTAGGATCCAGATGATGTCTGAAGCTCACACGATATTGCATTCTCGGTTTAGGAGGGCGCCCTCTGCCTGATGGTCGAGGAACAGGCATCACTCGATGCTCAACGATCTGGTCCACGTCCACTGCGCCATCCATGGTTGGGGGCAGCATTGATTTTCTGGAGGGAAACTGCTCAGTGGCAGGAAAAGGTGCTAACTTGGAGGCATGGAACACAGGGTAGGTACGCAAGTGACGTGGGATGCGGATTACATATGAAGGGTCGTCTGGTTGATCTCCTACAATGTCTAAGATCTCCCAGGGCCCAAAGTACTGTGGCATTAGCTTGCGGGATATGCCTACTCCTGACCAAGCTCAGCGGACTTAACCCAGACTCTCTCGCCTACCTGAAAGTTAGAAGGCTGTCTATGCTTATTCTCAGATGCAATCATTGCTTCCTGAGATTTTCTAATACGTTCAACGGCCTGCTGCAGCATCTGTTCATGCTTGACAGCAAACTCTATGCTGTCGGGTGCTCCAGTGGGTTCTATTTCTGGTAGCAGAAAGGCAAGGGCATTTCGCGGCTTCCAACCAAGATGCAATTGGTTGGGAGTCATGCCTGTAGTACTATGCATAGCGTTATTGTACAGGTTGGCAAATCTTGTCCCAGTCGTCCTGACTTGGCTTATACAGTGCCTAGGCAGGTGCTGTACTACTCGGTTCATCTATTCCGCTTGACCATTTGACTCGGGATGATTCCCTGAAGTCATTTGGCGTTTTGTGCCTATTTGTTCAGCAGTAAAATGCCACAGTTCACTCGTGAAACTTACATCCCTATCACAAGTCATTTGGAGCTTTGTGCCCATTTGTTCAGCAGGAGAATGCCACAGTTCACTCGTGAATCTTACATCCCTATCACTAACAATAGACGTAGGTAAACTGAAATCCCTTACCGAGTTGTCCATGAAGAGTTTGATGACAAAGTCAGTTTTAGCAGTTTCAGACATAGCGATTAGTCCTGCATACTTAGTAAAGCGATCCACTATAACAAAGATAGTGGATCTTTGTTTCCAGACCTGCTGGTCACCAAGGTATCCATGAAATCCATGGACACAGTTTTGCCTGATCCTTCAGGAATCGGCAAGGGCTTGGTCAGTCCAAGCGGGGCCTGAGTCCTTGAATTGTCCCTTTGACAAACCTGGCAGGTTTCAACATAGCGTTTTGCATCTTCCTCTATGAGGGCCACCAGAATCTCTGCACTAAGTTAGCTGATGTCTTCCTATAGCAAAAATGACCAGTTGCATCATGACATTCTCCTAAAAATAAACTACGTGAAGACTCACTATTAGCAACACAGTATTTTATTCCCTGCCTTCTCGAGAAACAGTAAGCCATCTACCATCATAAATTCGTCCAAAGTCTTTTTGTCCTTTGCTTGGAATCTACGGATGATCTATGATATAACTGGATTTCCCTGATAGGCTTCCACCAACCATCGAGTGAGTTCGTCAGATATGCCGAACTCAGTGACTAGCACGCCCAAATAGTCTGCCCTTCGTGATAGTGCATCAGCCACTTTGTTATACGTACCCTTGAATCCATCTTTTGGGTGCGTCGGATAGTACAGGCTGTGTCTTAATCCAGCGCAAAGTCTCATGGTCAGACCTCACATAGAAGAATCTTCCTAGGAGGTAGTGTCTCCAATGAACTAGCGCTCTGTACAGGGCGTATAGCTCTCTCTCATATGTGGACTTAGCTAACTTCTTAGAAGGCATCTTTTTACTCATGTACTCGACCGGTCTCAACTTTCGCCCCTCCTGTTGCGTAAGGACCGCGCCTATGCCATATTGGCTGGCGTCTATGGTCACAACAAACGGCTTGTCAGGATCTGGAAGCTTGAGAACTTCATAGTGTGTTAGAGCATACTTCAATTTCTTGAATCTTGCCTCACACTCTTCAGTCCACTCCCAAGGGGTGTCAAGTCGAGTTAGATCTGTTAATGGGGAGGCTACCGTGCTATACTTTTTGACGAAAGGACGATAATACCCTGTCATTCCCAAACACGATCTGACCTCAGCTACGGTCTAAGGTCTAGTCCAGTCAAGTATGCAGGCCACCTTTGCATCTTCCGGACTCAACCCATCTGCTGAAATCTCATGACCCAGGTACAAGGTCTTGGTGCGACCAAACTCACATTTCTCCAAGTTAATCTTGTACTGGTGCTATCTTAGGAGACCTACCACTGTATTCAGGTGCTCAGCGTGCTCCTCTGAAGTCTTACTGAAGATGAGGATATCGTCGAGGTACACGACGATAAACTTATCTAATTAATCATGAAAAATCCTATTCATTCCGTGTTGGAACGTACCAGGGGCATTGCATAGGACAAACGACATCACCACAAACTCGTACAGACCATACCTGGTATGAAATGCGGTTTTGTGTTGATCCTCAGGTCTAACAGCAATTTGATGGTATCCGGACTTTAAATATATCTTAGTGAAGTACCGGCATCCCTGGACTCTATCCAATAGGTCGTCGATGCGGGGTAGATGATCTGCGTTTTTAACAGTGATGGCATTGAGACCCCTATATTCAATGCACATCCTCAGGGTACCTCCCTTCTTCGTAAGGGGAGGTACTAGGCCGTATCCATCCCTTCTCTGCAAGCTCCTTGAGCTGGCGGCGGAGCTCATCTAACTTCGCAGGAGACATCCTATAGATTCGTCCTCTAGGCACCTTACTACCTGGGACCACCTCTATTGCATGGACAACCTCCCTTTCTACCACGCCTCTGGGCTCCTAAAAAAGGTCTGAATACTAAGCGAGGACTAATTCTATCTCTGGGGGGTGATTTAACGGCCTCCCCTTTCTCAGAGACAAAAACTAAGTACATGCCCCCTCCTCGCGATTTTGTTTATAGTAGTTATAGAAAGAGGAGGCACACATGCAACCGTAGTTTTCCACTAGACTGCTAGCTTTATACTTTTGCAGCCTAACGGTTCTACCGTTTGGAAGCTTGTGTATCGACACCTTTCTATCCCAATCAAATTGAGGTTGAGAAACCTCAAGGTAATACATGCCTATTAACATATCAAAGGGCAGTTCGTCGCTAACCAGGAAGGAGATCTTGTGGCTCACTTCCCCTTCTCCATAGGAGAAGGTGCAGACTACGTCCTTGACATAATCCTTGACTACCATTTGGTGCTTGTTGGCTAGCGTGGAAGCTACAGCTCTGCTAAGCCGTTGCACTTGGTCCCCTAAGCGCAGTCTATCTACACAAGCACGACTGATGAAGTTTCGTGTAGAGCCTATGTCTCCGAAGGTGCCAACTTGCGGCCACCTACATCAACCTCTACCACGAAATGTTCACCCTTTGGACCTGTACTGAACATCGCCCAAGAGTCCCTGGGGTCCTTCCCTGACCACTCAGTCTTTAACTCTTCTAAGGCCTCAGACACATCTATCGAACAGAGCGTCGGTGGGTTTGAATGTGTCTGTGGGGCGATATGTGGGTCACTAGCCTTGGCCAACGCCTGAAGTGGGGAAGGCAACGTAACCACTTCAGCGCGAGTAAGAGCAGCTAACACTCGTACTGGCCCGAGGAGTTTCTCTGCGAAGTGCTCGCAGAAGCACTGCCAGAGTTCGAAAATAAGCCTACCACTGTTGGTGATGCTACCTTCGTTGTGACCTTTTTGCCTCGGCCAGTTCATGCATGTGCCCTTGGCAACTCAGTCCCTCCACACCTCGTAGTCTAAACCAATTTTCACCCATGCGGGTGCCCCTTGGTCGCCCTGACCCGTGGACCGTACTACCTTCTTCTTCCCGATCCCCCTAGCCTTTTCTATGATAGGCGCCACGACTCCCCCATCTGAAGTCTCACTGGCCCCATCATGCTCTGTCACCTCCCCAAGGTCTGGGAAATCATCAATTAACTGACCCTTCTTCTTTCAGTCCTAGGGGAGTCTCCTCCTACCATCATGAGACACGTGATGCGCGGATCCCAGCTTGGCCTCTATATCTAGGGCCTTCATACTGAATGTAGCAAAGTTGTGTTGTTCAACGTAGGCTTCGTCCACCAGTTTTATCCTGACTTCTGATGGAAGCATGTCAAATAATCTGTGAGGAGTACTTGAGGGTCAAAGAGCAAACCAGGTACTACGATCAGACGTTCTACAACAGTTGTGACTTCGCGAACATTCTTGTACTTTTTGGCACAAAGATTGTTGATCGCGTCGGTGGCCTTCTGAGCCCCTTGAGGGTCATGCGACCTTCTGTACACAGTCTGTACGAAATCTTCCAATGTCTGGGCCTGTGCCCATGCATCGACGTTCTGACCATAGCCCTGCTGCTCAGCCAACGTGCTGCCGATCCTTCTAAAAAAGACGCAACAACTACAACCTCTTGCTCTGGCCTTGTAAGCTTATGCCTCACATATGTAGGCGCAGTTCTTACCCAGGTGTCCAGATCCTAATCCTTCTTCCTGTCTCCAGAAAAAGGTTTAGGACGCATCAGAGGAGTCTTGGGCATCCACTGCATAGGCTGCATGGGCCCAGGGGCTTGCTGCAACGGCTGCATAGCCACTGAAATAGGTTGTTGCACACTAACCTGGGCCTGGCTTGACAGTGGGACTGTAGTGACCATTGTCGTAGATGGTACGACCGAGACTCTATGAACCTGACCACTAGTTGTTACTAAACCACATGGAGGGGGCATGCCAAACATAGGAGAGAAAGATGGCCTTGTGGGTTGCGGCATCGATGAGGGACCCGCACCCGCAGGGGGAGCTACAGCAAACTGCGGCTGCCTCATTACTGTACGAGGAGCCCGAAATTCAGCCAGGATTTGTTTCTAGCCTGCCACCAGTTCGTTCAGCAATTCCTGTTGGACATTCTGCGCTTCTGCCACTGATAGTAAAGCACTACGCAGCACGCCGACAACAGGGTCTAATGCCGCCTCATCTAGCCCTTCCAGTCTGCCTAGCTCCTGCACTCTACTTCCTAGTCGAACTGCCGCTGCTTCGTCGAACTGCCGCTGCAGCTCATCCTGAAGTTCTTCTGCCTGTCGGATTTCTAAATCCTCCGGTGTGAATGGACTCTGTTGGCTGACTTGCAAACCATCAAATTGACTAACTACACCCGATCCACCCTGCCCTTCTCCTGGCGAAGAAGACAGGGAAGAGGTTTTTGACGTAGAGGCGCCAGTAGCCATCACAGCCGCTGAGCTGGCTGCTGCGTCCCTAATCCTCCTCGCTGCTACCCTCTCCCTTGCTTCCCTTCGTAATCTCCTTTCCTCCCCAGGAGCTAACTCTTGGAAAGTGATTGGTTGACTAAGAGCGGTTCTCCGTGTGATCCTCCTAAGCGGTTGCACTAGCCTTCCCTCCTCCTCACTGCTGTCTTCACTCATGAGCTACAGTGTGTGTGATCTAAACTAGAATCCACACTGAATCCTACCTTAGCATGACACACAACCGCATATTTTTCGGTCCGCCTGAACAAAACAGTTAGATGATGTGGTTACAACTAATGTCAGGTCCTATAGGAAATATAAGATATATTTTTAGATTACCCTAGAACAGATTGCAATACAGCAAAGATCTAATTTGTCTGCAGTTGTTTGCCAGTTGTTAGTCAAGTCTGTAACAACTAGATAATCAAAATAAAAATAATATCTCCTGTTGGAGATGTATTCTTGATGGCAGATTATCTGTTGATTGCCACTGCGAACAGTTACCGAAATCCCCCCTCCCCCTGTGTCCTTCTTGATTGGTCGCTTTGTGTCAACGTCCTCAGCATCTGGTTGAGTGGCGTGTCTAAAGGTGTGCAATCCGGCCCACCCCTGTGCCCCAAGTCATTGCCGAACTTGCCAGCCCCTGCACATTATTTACCCTCGCATGCAACGAGCCTTACACCCGGTTTGATCTGGCTGATCATGAGGCATTTTAGGAGAGCCCCCGTAACTCCTCTGGAATTATTTAACGTCGCAGACAGGACGACGATCACAACCAGAGTCAACACCGAGTCCCCGCCATAAATATTTAAAGACGGTCTCGCAAGCGTCTGTCCCAAAGGGTTGGCATGCCCTGCACGACCTCTATTGCGCAAGCAGCGAAACCAAGGACTTGCTGCCAAGCATGCGTGTACTAATCCCAGCGGGTTCGCATGGTGGCCGTGACCCGAGTGCTTCGTCCAAGGCCCTTCAAAGGCTTTGGACTTGCTGCCAAGCATGCGTGTACTAATCCCAGCGGGTTCGCATGGTGGTCGTGACCCGAGTGCTTCGTCCAAGGCCCTTCAAAGGCTTCGCCTGTCTCCCACCAGCTTGTTGCCCAGGGAGAATGTCGACTCTCAAGGTTGAGCGCTCGCGACACCTCACATCGAGAGGACTCTCAAGACAGAACTCACTTCCTCATGCTAAGAAGAGATGAAGAGGGTAGATAAGGAAGAGAGCAACGTACCTCATAATGCTGCCCCCAACCACAGATTTCTCACCGACAACCTGATGTGCATTTATGATCACCGGTCTTTGCCTCGGCACAACCAACAGCAAAATGCAGTTCCACCTCGGCTTAATATGTCACATCAGCGAGTTCTCATCATCCAGCATACACCCCGTATATCACCACACAGCTCCCTGGCGCGCCCACACGACCCTGGGCCGCCCTTCGTACAACGCCCAAGCCTTATCACTGCCCCACACCTCATGCGAAGCACCAAACAGCTTTTGCGAAGAACCAATGAAGCGCAATATGAACCAGCTCCGATACTAATTTGCAAGGAAAATAAGCAACAACGAGATGACAATTCCAAATTACACCATCACATTGAAAGCCAGATAGTCACACTGTGTCCAGAGAGCAGCATTGCACCAATAATACACCAATGGAGGTTCATAGTACTCAAAACCAATGTCATGGAGAGCATACTCTCTCCTCATCAACACAAGAGTCCAGTCCTTTCACTCTCCTACTTAGCGCTCAGCGCCCAGCCTACTCCTAACAGAGCTACTACAGCCTACTAAATGGCAATGCAACTGTTGACATCAGCAACAACCCGAAGTACTTGAAGATGTCGCCCATGCAGACCATCGCCAATACAAGGTAAGCGCCCTCACATCATCATCATCATCACCCTTCACCTATCCCCTTACTTTACTCCCATGTCTGTCCTCTCTTACACCTGAAGACCACCCCTGCGCCTCACTGTACATCCAAGCCCAGCCTACTATGAAGGCTGGTTGTGGCGCTGCCCTCAGCAGCGCCCTGCTTCACCACACGACCGCACGTGTGCAGCCTCTTGCTCCCAATGCCAGCAGCCACCCCGCGAGCCGCCAGCCAGCAAGTGACCGAATGAGGCTGTCGGGGGAGAGCTCTTTCCTTTATGGAAAGAATTGGCCTGCTCGCGCAGCCTGGCTGCACTGGCCTGGTCCCAAAAGCTTCCGGACGGCCCCAGGAGGCTGCCTGTGTACAGCAGCTACTGGGCTGCTTGGTCTCGTTCGGTTGGGCGCCCAACTGTCTCTGTATGAGGCTAAGAATCACACCCAAGGCCTGCATTCTTTGGAAAAGCCCGGAAGGCCATGGAAATGTCTTTGTTGCTGGGCCTGAGTTTCTCTCGACCAACTGGAGCGTCGCAACTGCCTGGACCCCAAATATGAAATTGATAGTCGAGGACCTCTTGCGATATGTCAGGCCAACCTTCGCTTAGGGCGGGCACCTCCGCCTTCACTTAGGACGGGCACCTCCGCCTTCACTTAGGGCGGCCAATGTTGTAAACAGGGCCCCATAGGCCTACCGAGGACCCTGATCCTCACAAAAGTTGGAGGGGTCAAATAAACTGAGACCCCACCCCTTTTTTTCATGGTTACCGTCCGGAAGTTCGAACCCAATCCGGACCGTTGTAGGGCCAAACCCCGGTAGACTTTCGAGCCTTAGTCGACCCCACTGCGGGTCCCAGTTGGCTCGGCCCGCCCACACTCATGCTCAGGGCACGAGCCATTCGTCCCAGGGTCACCCCCACCTAGTGCTTTGAGATGGATGGGGGTGGGCCATTGCGCAAAAGAGCTTTGACATTGGGGATGTAGCTCAACCCTCACGCCGGGTGGTAGTCTCGCTGGTTGTTCCGCAACGCTGATTTTTTTTTTGATTCTTTGTTGTGTTCTCATGCAATTGCTCCTTCCGATGCGCAGGCAGTCCAAGGATTCTTTGAGTGTTTCTCTTCTCTTGTGCGTAGGCTAAGCGTCATCCTTAGGCCACGCACCATTTTCCTAAGCATTGTGGCTATATGGCGTCATCGGGGGGCGGCGGAGCCGTCCTCTCCCTCGCCTCTACGCATCCATCGGGTCTCACAATTTGCTTTCTTCCTTATTGAAGTAGGCCCCTTAGTCTTTTCGGGGTCCTCATATGCATGCACACACAACATAACATTTTCCTTGGTACGATTGCACTCTCATTTACACTCCCAAGTCTTCAAGCGCAAAAGTCATTTCCATGGTTTGGCTCTATGTCAAGGGTCCCATAGCCCCTTCGTCCCTCTTCCCTTTCTCTCTTGGTGCCCGGTTCCTCTTGCCCCTATCCCGCTCAAGGCATTTCTAGCCATCACTTACCTGCACAATCCCACACAAGCAAGAAGATCCATACAATCCCCCGTTGGGGGTCAACACATAGCCCTTCCCACATGCCTATCTTTTCAAATTCTTTGGCTGCTCTTTGTTCCCTCTTGTTGCTCAATCAGCCCATTCTCTTCTCATAGTCATGCAGTTGGGGAAATGGTTGAGTCAAACTGACCTCACTTTCAAGTTATGTTCTCTTCAGGATTCCACCTTTCTCCCACCTTTTCAAACGTCCTTTCTCTTTTGCCTCCTTGGTGGCACAAGGGACCGGCTATCCTCCCCTTGCCCTCTTTCTCCACCAAGTGAAGTCTGATTTCGTTTACCGTTCGTACCCTGGCAATGTTTCCAAGTGAGGGGAGAAGGGTTAGTCATATGCCAAGTAAGGGGACGGGAGAGAGGGAGAGAAACGGGAGAGAAGGAGAGAGAAGGCAAGGTGATAAAGGGGGGGCGAAAGAGGGGTCTAGAGGAGGAAAGGGGGGAGAGGGAGAAGGAGAGAGAGAGGGGGAGATGAGGAGAGAGAGAGGAAGAGAGAGAGAGAGAGAGAGAGAAAGAGCTTCTAACCAAATCAGCTCCCCGTAGCAGCAATCAAACGTCGATCACTCGTCCCATAGAAAAGTTTGACCAAGTATATCTTGGAATATTATACATGATCATGACAATGAGAAGCTAGATCAATGGACAACACATGCTCATAGAAAAGAATGTTATCTAAACAAGATCCGGAACATCATATCAAACATGAACTTTGACAATGAAAGACTACACTAGTGGAAAACACATGCACAAAGAGAAGAGGCCAATTAAGTAAAGATCCGGAACATGAACTTGACAATGAAACACTAGACTAGTGGAAAGTACATACACAAAGAGAAGAGATCAACAAAGTAAAGATCCGGAATTTTCACATCAAACATAAACTTGACAACGAGAGGCTAGACTAGTGGAAGCACATGCGAAAGAGAAGAGATCAACTAAGCGAGGATCCGGGACATCACAATGAACTTGACAATGAGAGGCTAGACTAGCGGAAGCATACGCACAAGGAGAAGGGATCAACTAAGCAAAGATCCAGAACATGAACTTAACAAGGAGAGGTTAGACTAGTGGAAGCACATGCACAAAGAGAAGAGACC